CCATTAAACATCAAGGTAATTAGTAAGTCTGCTACTGAATAATAAAGAATCTTTCTCGTGTTATTGACCGAGGCCAAAGAATGCTTTGCTTGAGTTGTATCCTATATCCATGTGTCTTCCTATACGCAACCGTTATATTATAATATTTTTTGCTTATAAATGACACAAATATTTTGTTTGATTGTTTGTTTTAGACTGGAAATAAAACAAAAACCAAAGGTCCTGCGTCAGTTGTTGAATCAACCCTCACGTTTTCTGATGATCAGCGAGAAAAACGAGACGAGGTCGCGGGAATTGTAAGTACCACTGAATAGAACTGCCGGTRACTTGAATGAGTACTTCCTGATCGAACCTGTGCAAAGTTCGTAGGACTGTGATGCCACAAACAGGCACTTAATTTGCAGGGATAGAAAAACTAAGGTTTACCTGCTTCCCTATGATATGCAATGCCACAGCAATGTCTGCTGATGATGCATTGTGGTCTAGCTTGGGTACAAGYATCTTGGTGTTGCAGCGGTTTTCTATATTCTGCAAACTCGGTAGCTGCGAGCTGCACGCTGAATTTTTTTTTCCGCTGCCGTCAATCAAAAATAATCATTCGGTACCTTTTATGATCTTGACTGGCGGCAGTAAGAAACCAATTTCACGACATGTACAAGCTGTTGAAATKTTTGAGTTCGCAGAATATCGAAAACTGCAGTAATCATGCTTTATATGGTAGTGTTAGTGCTCGTGCCTATAAGCTAGACTCTAGAAGTAAAAGCCTCATAATCTCTCGTCATGTACTTATCTTCTGTTACAGGTGAGCTGTAATGCAGCGGAATGTTTGCAGTTTACGTGTAGACTTGGTAGATTACAGAAAGGTGATGACGTAGAAATATTGATGACGTCACGACTCTGGCAAAGCACCCTAATCAAGGTATATACAAGTCGTGATTTAGATTGGGTTCTTGTTTGTCAGTGTCGTTCTTCATACACTCAAAACATGGACTGCTTCGACGACACGGCGGCCATCTTGCCAGGGGGCAAAACGAAACAAAGATGATGGAAAATATATAGAGTTGCGTGTGTTGTCTTTCTTTTATGGGTAAAGGTGATCGATGTGTCGTCTTAATTMATCTTTTGCTGTATTCTCTTGTGATAAGATGTTAATAACAATCAACATCATTACTGTAAAAAAACTTTATTTACCCCTTGGATGCCCCATAATGCATTGCGATCCAAGATGGCCGCCGTATCGTCGAAGTAGTCCATTTTTCGTAACTACCTATCAGCCCTTGAAAGAAAAACGCGTTGGGTTTGCYGATGCATTAGGGTGCATGCATTGTTTTATTCATAAAGCTTGATCTACCAAGACACCGGGTCAAGGTCGTGCAGGGTTTGAACCTGGATGGGTCACTTGAAACTTATAACTACTCAAGCATTTTTTTTCTATTTTCCGTTTTGAGTGCTTCTGTTTTGCTTGCAATTGGCCAGGGCGTAGCCTATCATAAAAGCTTTGCCAAGTCGCATCAGCCTGTATCTTATTTGATTCTGTCAAGGGCAGTATCATCAGCTGATAATCGTTATTATAATATCATGGTTGACTYGTGGTTGACTTATCTCTCAAAAGGAAAGGATTTTGAGGCTCTATATAACATTACTTGACGCTTTTATTTTTACCATCAGGCTGACGCTGGCGCCATCGATCTCATTACTATGGCAACCATAACCCCTCCTTCATCCATCACCGAGCCACTAAATGACAAAAGCAATGAAATCAAGGTAAGGAATTTGATATTGCATTGTTCACCACAGACTAAAGAGATAAGTGCGAATAATACTTACAGTGTTTTTCTTTATTCGATAGCTTTACCTTCGTGCCAACCCCAAGGTGACCAAAACTGCTCCCGAGACCACCCCTATCTGGATTATTATTGTGTCAGTCCTGGCCGGTTTGTTGCTTCTTGGTATATTGATCTTCATTCTGTTTAGGGTAAGTTCTTTATACACTGTCTTCTTCGTCGCGAATAGAGTTGTTTCACTGAATACAAATTGTCCATCAMAAGAGATTTTATCTCCCAAAAGAAAAAAATTCTGTCGCTTTACCTTACATGGGGCAGTGAAACCACTTTGTTCTTGACAAGCTTTCTTGCTCAAACAAGACAAACACGGCGAGTATGGACTTCAATCTAAAATGATTCGTTTCATTTTTTTGCAGTTTGGGTTTTTCAAACGAAAGCGCGCCAAAGACCTTGCGAATGAAGAAGAAAACATGACATCAAATGGTAAATACGAGGCAGCACCTCAGTGACGGACAAAAACATCACCTTGGCTTTTGATAAAATGCCTGTCAATCATACCGCCAAGAACCAATCAAAACAAGTTGCGCAATCAAATGCGCGCTATGACGTGTTAAGTTAACCATCATAAAATGTCACTCAAAGATGGATTTGCTTATGAACAACACAAACAAAATCTTTAAAACATTTAAAAATTTAGTAGGAAAATTGGCCTTTAATTTAAAAGCTTTCAGAAAAAGCAGAAATTTGAATTGCGTGAAAATAACTAGAAATTGAATATGATTATTTTGGTTTTGAGACTAAAAAAATTCCATGGRAAATGAGAGGCAAAACATTAATTTTGGTCGAATTGGTAAACGTCGTCGCATAAGTGACGCCCAGTCGCGTGACCACCAAGAATTTGAGGTTCCCATAAGAGTGTTTTCACTCAGGTGACAAGGAAGCCATATTAGTCAGTATACCAAACACCCCAAATAGAAACTTTCTGCATAAGAATAGAGCTCAAATCCCCGAGGATTGAACCTGGCCGCTGTGAATAAAACGCTCGTGAAAACGATCTATARATATACTTCCACAATTAAGTCATCCTAAACATTGAAAAAAATGGAACCTGTTCTCAAGAGAATGAAATAGTAACGRGTATTATGGAATTAGTGTATTTTCCCCTTGGGGGGGGGGAGGTAGGAAGGATGAGAAGGGCTTCTGTACCAAACAGGTTACTTTCTTCAATGAAGACTAATGCAACGAAGAGTTTTGCTTGGATGCTAAAATAATAACAACTTCTTGTCATGTAAATAGCCACGAGTGTAAAATACGCACACTAATATGCAGCACAAGGGATATAAAAAAAATATTTATTGAAATTTCATTTGTTGGAATAAAAAGAAAGGTTATCGAATATCGTACAAGTTGTTGATCAATGTAGTGTACTTTGAGCGCAGGTGCTAAAGGCCATTGAGTTTCATTTCTTTCTGCTGTCAGGTTTAGGAAAACGGGAAGTCTTGCCTGATGTCTTTCAATATAATCTCTTTATCACTTTTTTTTTAACCAATCTTTAGTCCTTCTTTCTCTTCTTTCCAATTAATCGACGGAATTATTGACCAGTATGTATGTATATATACTTAGTGTAATCTTAGAGTTGAATATAGAGTTTCTCGCGCTGTGATTGGTCGAGCGTCCAGTGATTCTGAGATGACAATCACTGCTAGAGCGGTGATTATGAAGTTTTCCRAAGTTTGCCAGAAGTAATACTAAAACTTTTTTTTATCCTAGTTTCGACTTTTCTCTGATATTCAAGTCTAAAATTATACTAAAACAATTATTCCCCTCAGRCTCAGTGATTATGGTGATATTTACCGAATAAATTGTTAAATATAACCCAAAMATAGCTCCTTACACTTTGAATACCTGTAATGTGCATTGTAGTTCATTACATCGGGCTGTRGGTTYCTGGTCCATGTGCCTTGACATAGAAGTTTTCWGAGTTCGATAAACAGGATGTATTGTGGTCTAGYTTCGGTACAAACARCACCATATAAGGCATGATGACCATGATGCACTACGTTCGCTATCTCAGTATAAAAMCAGTAGAAAATCCCCTTTTAGCCYAGGGATGCGTGCTATTAACCCTTTGGTATTAAGCTAGTGAAACGCCCTACTTGTCATCAGACGTGTCCTTGTAATCTTAGATGCGCGTAGAAACTTTATATTATAGTACTATTTTTTGGTTAGAAAGTATTGTCAGCATTACGTTAAGAAAATCATGCAAAACCACAAACACATCAAATATAATGACAGCAAAGGGAGAAATGCAATGACTATTACTTTGCAAGCTCCATACAATCAACAGTTTAAAAATGACACAGCGATCCCAACACTAGTATTCCCAGCATGCACTTTCAAATTCAACATGGCGGATGAATAAACGTGTTTTTACGAATTCTTAGCTTTTTCTTCACTTTTATTAAAATATCAGGCTTTTATTCTCATTTAACCGRTCCAGTGTGTTTATTAAGCACATAGGTATTCAGAATTCTATTGATATGTCTTCAAATCCTCGTAAATTAAGGAGAATACAGTGAGTATCTGAACCATGCATCTTCAAACTTTCCTTTTTCAACCAACAACTTTAGGAAGAATCACTTATTGTGAAACTTTGTTAAAACATATCAATGAAATTATTGATTGTTTTATTTTAGGTGGTGGAAACAACATAAACCAGMGGATCCCAGGTCTGAAAAAGAGGATGATGCGAGTATCGAACCTAAAAAAGGTTAGTCAAAACATGGGGTCAAAACTATGACTACAGCAGTATGAAACAAAACCTTTGAGATTAAAGAGCTTGAATAAATGTCTGAATTTTATGTTTAATATGAATACCTACATAAATTTATGGTGATACTTTTTACTTTCAGTCAAGAAAAGCCATAAACCAAAGAAACTTCCTCCAAWAACACCAACAGACTCCAAACCACCAGATGAACAAGAAGAGAATAAAACAAAAAATAGATATATTATTTTTGTAGGTAAGATTGCTACGATAATATAGCTCTTAAGTGTGATGTAATTCAAACGAAAAACCATTTCTGGGTAAAACTTAATGACATTTTTTTCTTCTTTATAGCAGGATTTACAGTTCGTATATCTAATTATTGTTGAAGATAGAGAATAAATCCTGGGAATAAGTTGT